GGGCTCCCGGGGACGGGACGGGGCGGGGCAGCGCAGGTGGCCCCCGAGGGCCCATTCCCGCCTAGACCCTCGTCCTGTCCTCCCATCGCCTCGTTCAGCGGTTCTGGGTTTTGGTTGAAGATACAGGTTTTAAAATACCTTTGAAAATTACAAATGATACTTCTAGGAAACTTAGAGAACTGTTTAAAAAGTAAAAAGACAAAAGAAAATTACCCCTAATTCTATAGCAAGAATAATCCAGATTCCTGCTTCAGTGTGCCGCTTCCCAGCCACACGTGAGTCTGTGTGACTATGCCAGACCACGTATGTGGGCCTAAGTGAGTAACGGTCCAGGCCGCGTGTGCGAGCATGTATGTGCGACGGTCCAGGCCACATGTATGTGTGTGTGTGTAACCGTACCAGGCCGTGCACGTGAGGCTGTGCACGTCAGTGGTAGCAGGCTGTACACATCGTGGGGCGTGCATCTGACCTCCCTGGGCACTGAACGGGATTTGGCCGTGGTGTGTTTCAAAGGCTGCATCTCCGGGTCAGGACGGGCCCCACAGACGGAACGAGCTCCCTAGTGAGACGTGCAGAGCCTGGACCCTAACGGTGGCCCTGCTGGAACTCCTGTGTGTCAGTGCGCGACTGCGGGGGACGGAAAGGGCTGAGGTCCTCCCTCTGGCCTCTCCTAGCCTGGCGGCCTCGGGGACAGCGGGGTGAGCAGGGCTCTTGCCCTTTGCCCTCTGCACCCCCACTGACCTCTGGGCCTGATGGTTCCTTCCTCGTGTCCAGTTCTGTGTCCCCGAGAGAGGAGAGAAAGGGAAGCGGTGGAGACGGAAGGGCTCCCAGCAGCGCCTGCGCCTCGCGGTGTGCCACTGCATGCATGTCACCAGGTCATGTTCATGCGTGTTCAGCTTCGTGGGCAGCAGACCGGGTTCTCCAGAGCCAGCCTTTCCCTCTCTGCACCCTGTTGGTCAGAGCTCAGACCTCCAGAGGTCAGACCGTGCCCTCGGGGCCCCCTGTGTGCAGGTCCCTCCATGCCGGCTGCTCATGGCAGTGGCTTCCATGACTCCCATGGGAGGGCACGGAGGGTTTGCTCTGGGATCTGTGTCCTGCTGTGGGTAGGAGCTGAGGGGGACGGGGACACTGTCTACCTTCGGTGCCATAGCCATCCCAGAGATGGGGTGCTTTAACAGAGACATCTCCCTCACAGTGTGGGGGGCTGGATCTGAACTTTCACTTGTTGCTGAGTGTCCGTCTCCCGTCTCCCGGCAGGCAGTGGGGGCCGGCCGGGCCACCGTGGGTGCCTGGCCTGCCTGTGACTCTGGTTTTCTGTTCCCATTGTCACAGTTCTAGTTCCTGGGGTCTCTGATCCCCCTGGAGATGAGCCCCCTGGAGCCAGGGGGTGGGACGAGAGTGAGGTGGTGTTTGGGCTAGAGAGAAATTGCACAGCGTCAGGGCGGGTGGAGCAGACGAGGATACACCGTGCTAAGCCCTGCAGTGTCCCCGATGCATCCATAATAGAATGTAGAGATACCTCAAATCACAGTCGCCAGCTTAGGATTCTAGCTTGGTATAATTATCTCCCGTGAGGGTTTTATTTAGAACTTCGAGGCTTATCGTGATTCATTACTGGAATTGGGAAGTATTTTAAATATCTAAAAAGAACCAAAAATAGCATACACACATTCCCAGATTTAAAATGTTCACGTTTACCACGTCTGCGTCTTTAAAAAATAAATAAATAACACCATGGGGGCCAGCAGGTGGCATGGTGGTTAAGGACACTGGACTCCCACATGGCCAACCACAGTTCAAGTCCCAGACCTGGCGACTTGCCTTCTCACTTTCTCTCTCTCTTTCTTTCTCTTGCTCTCTTTCTCTCTCTTGCTCTGCCCCTCTTTGGTCAAATTTAAATAAATAAATAACATTTAAAAATTAAAAAACAAAACAAACAAACAAAAAACACTATGAAACGTTCCAGGCATACAGAAGGCACAGAGAGGGATCATGCAGGTGCAGCTAGAGAGACAGGTGCCGGCCTGTTGGAGGTGCCCTCCCAGCCCGCACGCCCCTTTCCGGTCACATCCCCTCTCCTCACCTCCAGAGCTGCTGGCCCCGAACCCGGCCCTTGCCACCCCTCCCTCTCCTGTGCGGCCCTCTACACACGCCCCATCCCTGAGCAGTACACGTCGCAAGTCTGAAATCTCCCGGAACCTCAGGCCGACCTTTCGACCCTCATGCCTGCTGACACTTCCAGCTCTAACTGGCTGACTTTCATTCTTAAATGTGTTCATTGAATAGTGTCTTCTTTGTTGTGTGGGTGGGTTTCTGGGTTCTTTGCTGTTCTCAAACCCCGAATGGGGCTGTTAGTCTCTCCAGACCCCCACGGCTGGGTTTGGGGTGGGGCCCGAGGAAGTGCCTGGTCAGGTTCCCAGGCGACACTGTGGCTGCCGCCCCGGG